TGTTGCCAATCTTCCTCTCTCTTTTTTTTTTCTCCCCAAAGCCCCAGTACATAGTTGTGTATTTTAGTTGTGAGTCCTTCTAGTTCTTCTGTGTGAGCCGCCACCACAGCATGGCTACTGACAGACAAGTGGTGTGGTTCTGCGCCCAGGAACCAAACCCAGGCTGCTGAAACGGAGTATGACGAACTTTTAACTGTTAGGCCATCAGGGCTGGCTCCCAAATAACCTCTTTGACCCTCACTTTCCATCTTTTCCATCTTTAAAATGAAAAAGTTAGACTAGGTCATCAAAATATCATGTTCATCAAATAAATGCTTGTTGGGCATCTACTACGATTGAGACATAGTCCATATCCTCACGGCCTTTGTTACAACGTCTGTGGCAAATCTGTCACTAGATACCATCTGATCAATACTGTGGAGTCTGCATAGTTCTGGGGAGTATTAGGAAGCAGCGACAACAACAACAACAACAACATGTTCCGCATTGAGTGAGTGTCTGCTTCCCAGCATAGTGCCCTACTAAGTGCTTCTTAAGCAAGACCTTACCTAGTTCTCCCAGCCTAGGAGGCTGGGATCCTATTATTCTCATTTCACAGATGAGAAAACCAGGGCTCAGAATTCTCTAACATGCCCATCTTTGTACAGCTCAGAATTTGCAGCAGGAGAATTCCAGTTCGCACAGTCTGACCCCAAAGGCCTAATCACTGCCCTACTAAGCAAGACGCCATGCTCCAGCTAGTTATGATCTTCCGAAAGAGCTCTTATTCCCACCTTGACTCTCAGTTGTTTCAGAAGGTGATGTCTAACGATAATTTTTTAAGGAATGAGGGAAGTCTTCCCACGTTCCTTACATTCACAGACATACCCTGTGGTGTGTTTTCTGGTGTTTTCAAAGCTTGAACCTTGGAATCACCTGGAGTACTTCTTAAAAATACAGATTCCTGGGTCCCAGTACAGGACCTACTGAATCAGGCTCTCTAGATGGGAGGTCTAGGAATCTGCATTTCCAACAAACCCCTGGGAAAGTCTTATTGCTAAAATTTGAGGCTGCTGTCCTGGGAGTACATATGAGCCCTGGCGGAACCATTTGTCATATGCATTATATGCATGTGATTTCTCTCCAAATTAAATTCTCTGGTGGTTTAAATCCCTGTGGTTTGAATTCTCTGGTGTTAGAGATGAAGCTGCTTCATCTCTAACACCAGAGGGACTTCGGTATCCACTGCACGTGGAAGCTGGCTTTGGGGGAGTTCCGTACAGCCCTTGAAGAGCTGAGCGCTGGCTGAAAGCTCTGTCGTATCCGTGATGGATAAGATTCTCTCTGGGATGAGATAGCCCTGTTAAGTCAGGTGTATGCTTTGAGTCACTTGTTTTTCCTCTATGAGATCTTCATAGTTAGGGCTCTGAAGTTCAATGGGTCCAGTGGAGAGAGGCCCACTGAGCAGGAATTTCAGCCCCACAATAAGGATTTCCCGGCCACCCAGTGAGGGGACCCCCAGGTCAGGAGCCCCAATGAAGTCATAGTCCAGAGCCCTTAGCAGGAGGCCTTGAGGGGCTGCCCGCCCCCTGCCTGCCTCCTCCCTGCCCAGGACTGGCCTCTGCTGCTCAGGAACGGAATACAAGCTTTGAAGTCAGACAGACCTGGCCTCAAGGCCTGGCCTTACCGCTTACTATCTGGGTGGCCTCACTTCTCTGAGCCCTTCCCCCCCATAGGGCTCGGATAGCAACACAAGGTACCTCTTGTGCGGTTTATGAGGATTAAATGAGATGCTGCGTGCTAACTGCTCTGCACATGGTAACCGCTCAGCTCTAGGGAAGCGTTCTTGCCCACTCACTGCCTGCAGGCTGAGTGTCCCCCTTGGCTCAGGCTCCCTCTGCCAACTGCACTTTAGAAACTATGTGACTCTCCCTCCGCCACCTGCTGCCTGCCCGTTCCTCCCAGGCTGCAGAAACCAAGCGCCACCAGGACTGGGCAGCTCCTCACTCCCCATCTGCTTCTCCCAGATTCACTCAGTTCCCTCCTTTGCTCTGTTTGGACTTTTGTGATCATATCTCGGTTCAATGAAAAGTCACGGTCTTGTGTTAGGAATCCCATCAAGGACCAAGAATAAACACAAAAGGTGTACAAAGCTTGGGTACTATAGCTCATGTCTTTAAATGCAGAGAACTCATTCGGAACCTAATTGTTCTTACTTTAGAAACAATTGTAACAAACCTTAAATTAGAAGCGAGAGAGCTTTTAGAAGCGAGAATGCTGCCACACATAGGCACTTGCTGATAGCAGCAAGAAAAAATCATTGGAACTTCACAGTAAAAAAGAAGGAGAGAAAGGAAGGGAGGGAGAGAGAGGAGAGAAGGTGGGGAGAGAGGGACAGAGAGAGGGACTTAGGTTGAGCAATCGGAGGTCATTCATTGAAGGACACCAGTTCTCAGAAAGGTGTGGTTGGGATGGGGAGTGCCTGGGGGAGTCCCCAAGATGCTTTCAGGGGTTTCACAGGGTCAAAACTAAGTTTTAGATAGTCCTAAGACCTTATAGGCATTTTTTGCTCTCGTACAGTGGAGTTTTCCAGAGGTTATGTGACATGCCGTGATGTGGTAGCGCTAAAAGCTGATGGGATGCGTGCCTGTGTATTCTTGTGTGTTAAAATTTTATTAGTCTTAATTGTTACTACAGTCAATGTTGATTGACAGAACCCACATAAAACAAAAGCTCTTTGGGGTCCTCAATAATTTTTACAAGTGTAAAGGAGTCTTGAGTCTAAAGTTTCAGAACTGCTGGTAGAGGGATGAACAGCCGCTGCACCCCATAGCCTTGACGTTCCCGCGTGATGGCAGAGCAGTGTCATGGATTTTCTAATATGAACCACGGCTGCAGGCCACAAGAAAGCTCTCGTGGTACTCTGCCATGCCTTCCTGTAGCTTTTACCATGGCCTTCCTGTCAAGTAATTATGTGTCTGTGTGTGTATATTAGAGAGAGAGAGAGAGAGAGAGAGAGAGAGAGAGAATGCCCACGGGAACAGTATCTTATTCATTTTCTAGTTCCCCCGAGTGGCACATCATTAGTGCTCAGTAAATATTTTGGAATTGAGTTAACTGACTTTTTGGTGTGTCTGTTGGTGCCAGAGAGGTTTGTGATTCCATTTGAAAATATTTCCTTCACCATAGCTAAAATTTGGCTAAAATCATTTAAATGATTTCCTGCTTCAAAGAGGGAACCTCCCCATCCAGAACCTCACTCACGTGGTGTTACCAGGGCTCAGGCCCTGGAGGCAGCAGAGCCCGCAGGCACCTTTCACTTGGGCTCTGAGGTGAGTGGTGCCTCCTGGAGTTGTGTGACTCAGTGGCTCTAGGAATCACACAAACTTGGAATCAGCCTGGCTCCTCCTCTTTCAAGCTGTGAGATGGTCCCATAGCTTCCCTCAGCTCATCTTCTGGAGCCTAGGTATCCCCATAGGACCTGCTCACAGATGTGCTGTGGGGACTAGATGAGACAGTGCATGGAAAGCCCAGTGCCCCAAGGCAGAGACAGCTCGTGAGGTGGCACCTGTCAGTATCAGCCTTTAGCTCATTTCCAGCAAATTTGAGGTGGTGATAGAATGCCACAGAGAGACTGCAACGTCACATTTTCCCAACAAGTGCCACTATCTACACATAAGATTTCTCTTTTTAAAAAAGTCCTCGTGTGGTCATCTGTTCATTCCCTCTCTTATCGAATACATGTGGAGCACTCACACCGAGCAGGCCCCAGACTAGATGCTAAGGGAGCTGAGATTCATGGTAAGTCTGCATTTTCTAGAGCGTCACAGCCTGCTGAGGGAGGCAGACCCTCCCAGACCCACTCAGCACAGATCACACAGTAAATACTATGATGACAGTAACAGCTGACTGGGGGTGAACGTTTACTATGTACGGGACAAGGCACTTTTCCTGCCTGGTATAATTAATCCTCACAGCAACCGCACAAGGCAGGTGCTGTTATTACCCCCCTCCCCTTTACAGAGGCGGAAACTGAGTCACAGGTTAAGTAATTTGCCAAAAGTCCCACAGCTGAGGAATGATGGAGCATGAACTTGAACCCAGGTGGTCTGGCTCCAGGGCCGGTCCTCTTATGCATGGTGTTATAGCCCTTTTTACACATCCAGACCCTGTAGCCACAAGTCAGAGTCTCAGGTTTCCTCAGGAGGGCCCAGGGTGGGGAGAAGCGTATGGAGCTGGGAGAGAGGAGACTGGAGCTGAACTCCCGGCTCTCCTGCTGCCTTGTGTGACTTCAAGCAAGTTACTTATGTTCTCTGAACCTCAGTGTCCTCATCTAAAAAGTAGGGGTGATCATGGGACCTATCTTAAAACTTGTTGGGAGGATCATATAAAATAACTGCAACGCGCTGTGGTGCCATGGTCAGAAGTGTAGAAAAAGGGAACCAAGTCCAGTCGAGGCTCTGCTGGCTGTGTGACCCTGCGGGTTATTTAACCTCACTAAGCCTTCGTTTCATCCTCCATAGAATGGAAGTAATAAAAGGCTTTATATGAGATTTAAAGGAGACAATAAGTATGAAAGGGCTTAGCACAGCTCACAATAATTATTCAGCACAGGTCAGCTTTTACTGTTACGCACAAGTGGTTGGCGAGTTACAAAGTAGGACAGTACTACCACTGTAATGAGGCTGGTGTTCGGCTCTAAGGCAAACCAAGTCCCAAGTTACTGCTGGGGACACGGAGACATGGATGACATCATGGTCTTAGCATGCTCCGGTCTTTAAAGGACTTTGTGCTCTAGGATTTTGCAACTCCATGTGGTCTCAAGCAGCAGCAGCAGCAGCTGGGAGCTTGTCAGAAATGCAGAGTCTCAGGTCCCACCCCATACCTCCTGAGTCAGAATCTGCATTTTGACAAGATCACCAGGTAATTCCTGCAGTGCTCAAATTTGAGAAGCGCTGGTGTAATGCAGAGAGAAAGAATGGTGACCAGAGACTTCGGCCTGGGGTGGGAAGGGTTAATGTTTAGTTTGGCTCCCACCAAGGCACCGGAAACAGAAGCTTCCAGAGATTGAAGCATATGAACTGATGGGACAGGAGGGCTTCCTTCCTGCCTGTGTCCTGGACGGCTGGAGGCTCCGGCCTGGGACCTGCATTGAGCCTCGAGCTGTAGTGAGGAAGGACCCCCCGGGCCTGTAAAGCAGAGGTCAGGCTGGGACAAAGGGAGGCCTGAGTGCTCCGCAAGGGCTGTCTGGACTCAGAGTTGCCAGGGTGAGCCCGGGAGGTCCAGTCCTCAGATGAGGGACATATGAGATCTGAGGTAGAGGGGGAGGCCTGGAGGAATGTCATGGTTAACTGAGCAGGGCTCTCCCAAGGGACGCTGGGTGGCCAGCAATGGGACAGCTCTGGGAGGGCCTCTGAGGTCTCCCTTTGTACCCAGGCCTGCCCGCGGCCCCTGCTTCCCTGGCCTCTACTGGGTGGGGGCGGGGCCAGGATCCTGGACACAGAGCTGTGACCATGCTCCATCTGCCTCCCTCCTCAGTGCTGGAGCAGCTGCTCCCCGAGCTCACAGGGCTGCTCAGCCTCCTGGACCACGAGTACCTCAGCGACACCACCCTGGAGAAGAAGATGGCCGTGGCCTCCATCCTGCAGAGCCTGCAGCCCCTCCCAGGTCAGCCCTCAACGCTCTGCCCAGAGATCCTCAAGAACCTTCTGGAACTTCCCAGGGCCTGCCAGCAGGAGAACACAGACCTTGCAGCATGGCATTCAGTACTTTTCATGATCTGGCCCAATGTCTTCATCCACTTCAGCCCTTCTCCACCACAACCCTCGCTGTGCTCTTTGGACTCATCCATCCCCCACCCGCTACAAACTCACACACACTCATGTACACACCACATAGCACACTCCCACATACAACACACTCACACACACATATTCTCACATACACCTCACATACATAACAAACACATACCACACACGACACACAACATGCTCTCACACACAGCACACGCTCATATACATGCCACATACCAGATTCCCACACACACGTCCTCGCATGCGCCTCACATGCATAGCATGTCCATAACAAATATACACTACATGACACACACCACACACAAACACGCTCTCACTAACAGTATGCTCTCACATACATAACACACATCACACATGACATACAACGTGCTCTCACATACAGCATGAACTCACATACACAGCATACATGACACACAACACATCTCTCACACCCACATGCTTTCACACACAACACACTAACATACACATAGTACACACGCCCACACAATGAACACTCACACACAGTCTGACATACACCAGATAGACACACAGCACACACAGCACATACACATCACACACTCCTACACACAGACCCACACACACACACCCTCATCTTTGTGAGTTGTACGCAGGCCCCACATCTTTACTACTGTCCCTCCCTCTACTCCCCACAGCCTCTCTGACTCCCTGTCTACTGAGCAGCAAGGCCCCTCGTCTGCTCCAGCCTTTTCTCTACACCCTAAGTCAGCCCACGAGATGATATATGCAAATCCGAGGACTCAGTAAACCCTAATAAGCTCTACTTGTGTCCCGCAGTGTTTGAGGGTCTGAGTGATATGGTGGGAAGTCACCACTGGGAGACTCTCTGAGCCTCACTTCTCAGTGACAAAAGAGGTCCATATCATCAGCTGCCCTCACAGGACTGTGGGAGGATGAAAGGGGCAGCAGTTTGGGACTGTGTTCACCGGAGCCCCTGTACCCTGGCCATCCCCAGAGCAGCCCCTATAACCTGTTTTCTATGCTGGGCTCTGGGCATCCTTTCACTTGGTGAAGGAGATCCTCAGTAACAATGTAAAAATGAAAACAATGTTTGAAAACCAGGGAAATAATTTAGGATGTGCACAGCTTTGCACACTGAATGCTGTGTCCTTTGTGGGATAAAAATCTGAGTGGGGCAGGGGAGACCCCTCCTCGGAGTCAGCAGCCACCGGTCCCCTCCCTCCTCACTGCTGGCGTGTTCTCTTCTTTCCTCACAGCAAAAGAAGTCTCCTACCTGTACGTGAACACAGCTGACCTCCACTCCGGGCCCAGCTTCGTGGAGTCCCTCTTTGAAGAATTTGGTAAGCGAGCCTCTGCTGACCTCAGTCCGTGGAAGGGTCCCCAGATTGGCCGGGGAAATACCTGCCTCTGGGCCTGGCTCCAGTGTTATAGCATTGAGTCGCTTTGGGCAAGTCCCTTGGCCTCTCTGGGCCCTGCCAGGTCTGAAAGTCTAGTGGAAATCTGTACGGTTATGGGAAATCATCCCCAAGGTGTGAGAAAAGGGAGAGATGAACGCGCAGACCAAAGAAGTGTGGCCCGTAGCGCATCGTCTCGCCTGCTACTTGCATCATTGGTAGTGGCCGCCTGGGACTCTGGGTCGAGCAGTCTGGCAGCTCGGTCTAGCAGTCTAGAAGATGGAGCTGTGAGGGACTCGCAGTGGCGCCACGGGCGTGGGAGCAGCCGAGCCAGGCTGTGTGCAGGGTGTGTGCAGTGCCTGCTCGGTCTCGAGGGAAGACAGCACTGTTCAACACAGGGAGAAAGCTGTGGGTCAGGTGAGAGAGTTTTAGGAGCTGACAGACACTGTGGGAAGACACTGTGCTTTCATGACATAACCCTTGAAATTTCCAAAGCACTTACCAAAAATTATCTCATTTGAGCCTCTCGGTAACCCTGGGAGATAGACAAGCCAGGGATTATTGCGGCCAGTTTACAGATGAGAAGATTGAATCTCAGGGTAAAGTCACTTGCTCAGGGTTACTAATGGAGGAGGTGGTGGAGGCCTTCCCACCCCAAATCCAGCCCTCTTCCGCTCATCCTCGGCTTTCTTTACCCAATGGCCTGATCCTCCATAGACTGTGACCTGAGTGACCTTCGGGACATGCCAGAGGACGATGGGGACCCCGGCAAAGGAGCCAGCCCTGAGCCAGCCAAGAGCCCATCTCTGAGACATGTGAGTCATGGCCTGGCTTCCCACACCCTCAGGCCCTCTGTCCATCTGGAGGGGAAAGGAAGGCTCTCCCCCTGACGCTGGGGACCCTCCTGGCTGTACGGGACCCTGTTTTCTCTTCCGTGTGGTGGTTAAGGGCAGAAACAGTGCCGTGAGAACATTTCAGAGACTCATGACGTGCTCACTGTGCCTTTGCTGAGCAGGGATAATGTGGTGAACTGACCTGTCCCTTCAGTCCCAAAGGATATCCCCACCCCAACCTCTGATTGCAGTGACACAGGCAGAGTGATGGGGAAAGCTCTGGATCAGAAGTTGGGTGGCCTCTGCCCTCCTCCCCACTGCTGTGTAGGCAAATCACTTCCCCTCTCTGAGCCTGAGTTTTTCACCTACAAAACGGTTTGGGTCATAGCTAGGGTTCCTAGCCTTGGGGCCATGGAATTAAGGCAAGGGGCACATAATCACATCAGGCATTGTCTATTGACCACATAATTCACTGTCATCATCACCATCATTGGTACCAATTGTTGACCACTTATTATGTCCTTTACATGCTCACAGCAACTGAATGAGGCTGGCATAATTGTTATCCCCATTTTACAGGTAAGGAAATTGAGGCTCAGAGAGAGTAAGTGACATGTCGATGTCCCACAACTAGTAAGTGACAGAGCTTAGCTGTAAAGCTGGGGTTCCCTGGCCCCAGAGCCTAAGCTCTTAGCCACGAGGCAATCCTGCCTCCCTAAATAACTTCTCTCACATTTACCTATCCTGCTGTTCCTCACATGCGTGTAGGTGGGGTTGCAAAGTATTGCAGAACTCACAGTAACTTTTGATAATTCTGCATGTGCTCAGTCTAAAGTATAACTACGTCTATGTGGCAGTCCACAAAAGTTTCAGACATTACAGAGGAGCCCTGATGCTTACATAATTTGGGTAATGAATACAGGACCAAAAGACACTCTCACAAGGTTTCCCAACCTGGCCCTTCTGCCACTCTATTAGAAGTTACGTCTTCACGTTCAGAGACTGCATCCTGCCTCTAGGAGCTCCTGCCTCCCTCTCCCCCAGCCTCCTTCCCGTCACTCTGCCTGCTCCCCTCTGCTCTGCTGCCCTTCTTGGTCTCACACACCTCCCTTCTCCTCCTTTAGGCAGCCGACCTGCCTCCACCGCTCCCCAATAGGCCTCCACCAGAGGATTACTATGAGGAGGCCCTTCCCCTAGGGCCGGGCAAGTCCCCCGAGTACATCAGCTCCCACAGTAAGTTCTGGTCCCCCAGGGGTAGGGACAAGGGCAGGAGGCTCCTCTCCTGAAGTGCCTGTGTGTCCTGCTGGGGCTAGAGCTCCAAGCTGGGCACTGCCCAGCCATGCCCACTTCCTGAGGAGCTGCCTGAGTACCTGACCTCCCTCATGACAGCCTGGGTGAGCCAGTGGGCATGGCCCCAGTGGTCAGGGGCTTGGATTCTAGTCCCAGTTCTGTGTGGCTTTGGACAACCCCCTTCCCCTCTCTCGGCCTCTGTTCCCCTACCCTTAAAATAAGAAAGAGGGGCTAGATGCACACATATAAATGTGCTAGGATGGAGGTACACAGATGACCCCACAACACGGTTCATAGCACTGAAGCTGGTGCTCACCTGAGAGCTCCTCTTCAGTGGACTGGTGGAATAGTTGTGTTTCAGCAGAATCACATCTTACAGGTGGATTAGGTTACAAAGTCAATGCATAAGATAAGAAAGCCCGTGGTGGAAGTCAGAGGTCTTCAGAGTAGAATGTGGCCGCCCCAGAGGATTCATGAAATGATGTAGGCAGAAGTATTAGAAACTTCATTTATATTTAGTTCAATACATCTTTTTAAAATTTCCATGTGAGGGCTGGCCCCGTGGCTTAGCGGTTAAGTGCGCATGCTCCACTACTGGCGGCCCGGGTTTGGATCCCGGGCGCGCACCGACCCACGGGTTCTCCGGCCATGCTGAGGCCGCGTCCCACATACAGCAACCAGAAGGAAGTGCAGCTATGACATACAACTATCTACTGGGGCTTTGGGGAAAAAAAAAAAGGAGGAGGATTGGCAATAGGTGTTAGCTCAGAGCCAGTCTTCCCCAGCAAAAAGAGGAGGATTAGCATGGATGTTAGCTCAGGGCTGATCTTCCTCACAAAAAAAAATAAAATAAAATAAAAAATAAAAAAATAAAATTTCCACGTGAATATTTTAAAGTTTTAGTATTTATAATCTAATGGTAGCATAATACTTATAATTAGCTTATATGTACATATTTAATTTGTACATAAATAGTATATTATATGTATATATTTTTACTCATAGGTGAGCACAATAAAATAATTTAGAGGGCAATGGTACAAATCACCTTTTAAAAATCTCTTAAATTGCCCACAAAGAGAAGTCTTTGATTTTGACTAGTCTCTCAATCGGTTTCCTCCAGTGTTGCAAAAGATGGCTGTTTCTTTGAGGATCAGATAAGTCACTGGCTTGAGCACAGGGACTTACCATTACATACAAGAAACTGTATTACAGTTTTTGGATGACCCAGCACGTGTGGTTGCACTTGTATAGGATAATGTTTGTGTGACGCCCTTCTGTCATTCAGTAGCACAGTGGAATATTCTCCAGCCACCAAAACAATAAATAAAATAGGTCTGTCTGTGCTGATCAGAAATGAAGTCCAAGATATATTCATTGCAAAGAACTCAGACACAGAATACTGCATATAACATAATTTCATTTGGTTTTTAATGGGGTACACACACATGCATTCATTTTAACAATTTTTCCTAGGATATGCAAGAAACTATTAACAGTATTTTCATGTGGGAAATGAACAGAAGTGTCAGTGAAGGGAACATATTTTCCCATTCATACTCTTTTGTACTGACTGCACTTTTCACCGTGGGCATATATTTTTTTTATTGTAGTAAAATACACATAACATAAAATTGACCATTTCAACCATTTTATAGTGCACCACCAGTGGCATTTAGTACATTCACAGTGTTGTGCAGCTGTCACCACTAGCTAGTTCCTAAATGTTTTCATCGCTCCAGAAGGAAACCCCATACCCATTAGGCAGTCACTCCCTGTTCTCTCCCCTGAGCCCCTGCCAACCACCAGTCTGCTTTCTCTCTCCATGGATTTGCCCACTCTGGACATTTCGTATGAATAGAATCATACGATATGTAGCTTTTTGTGTCTGGCTTCTTTCACTTAGCATAATGTTTTCGAGGTTCATCCATGTCATTGCATGTATCAGTACTTCATTCGTTTTTATGACCAAATAATATTCCATTGTATGGATATACCACATTTTGTGTATCCATTCATCAGTTCATGGACATCTGGGTTGTTTCCACCTTTGGGCTACTGTAGCATATTATTTTTGATTAATAAACTAGCTAAAACAAAGTGAGATGGGGTATTGGACCAGGTGATTGGTGGTTCAGTACTCTTCAGCCTTGATTGTCTAGGGGTCTGTGTCGCTGCAAGCAGCTGTTCGTATGTGCAGTGGGTCACTCTGTTTTAACCATTCGAGGACAGGGGAGGAAAGAGAAGACAAAGTGCTGCAGGGCCCTGAACCCCAGGTCAAGTCCCTCAGCTGAATGAGGCTCCTCCACCTCCCAGAGAGCTCCTTCCTCTCTTGGATGGGGCTGGGGCTGAGAAGCCACCTCCCAGGAGCAGCGGGGATCCTGGGGCAGGAGGGAAGGGAGTGCCTCCGGAAGGCCAGGGACCTTGTCTAGGGGGAGAGCGCCAAGCCCGTCAGGGAGTATCCTTCCTCTCGAACACAGTGTCCAGCCCTGCCAGGTGTCCCAGCACTTTGCTGAGGGTACCCCCTCCCCCTTCCCCATCGCACTTCCTCCTCCCCCAGCCCTCACCTCTGGTCCTGACTCCCCCAGTCCACCCCACAGGAGATGTCACCATGATCTGAGGCCTCAGAGTACCTGCTGGGAAAGGCAGGCTCTGAGCCTAACTTGGGAGATAGAACTGGGTGTCCCGGTTGCTGGGAATTTGAGTGCTGCCGTCCTCAGGAAACAGATGGACATCAGGGCCTGGGAGCCCTGAGCAGTGCTCTGAAGAGCAGCGTGGTATGAGAGCGAGTTACACTGGGTGAAGGAAGGCTTCCTGGAGGAGGCATGTGCTTCTATTCCCTGAGCTGGCAACCTCAGTCTCACCCAGGCTCTGTCACTAGCAAACCGCGTGGCCTCAGTTTCCTCATCTGTAAAATGGGGCTAATACCTACCTCCCTGCATTGTGGGAATGGCAGGAGATGATAATAATAGTGATGGCTGGCGTTTGTCTAGTACATTATGTGTGCCAGGCACTGTGCCGAATTTATATGCATTATAGCACTAATCCAAGGTGGGAACTGTTCATGTCACTTTAAGGGGAGGAATCTGAAATGCAGAGAAACTGTGTTTTCTTTCTGAGGTCACTCAGTAAATGTGAAGATAGGTTTGAACTCAAATCTGATCAACCTCAAAGCACATGCCTTTAACCCACTGAACTTCAGAGTGTGCTCGGGAGACCATCTGCATCAAAATAACCTGAATTATTTTTAAAAAATCCAATTCCTTGGAGTTCAACATATTTCTATTTTTACACATGTTTTTTAAATATCCTATTAAATAATTAAAAAAATTTTTTTTTTAAACCTCAGCCCACACTAGTGAATCAGAGTCTCTGGGGATACAGCCTAGGGCTCTGCGTTCTAAAAAGACCCCCAATAATTCTGATGCAGAGTACAATTTGAGATACTCCCAACCCCTGTCCTGTGCTGCTGCCCTGGATGGGAATGTGTTGTGAAAATTCAGCGTGGGCAGCTGCCATAGTCACTATTGTGTGCGTTATTATTATCTCTCTAGTCCAGTTCCTCTATGGTTGCAGAGGTTTACAAGGAGATCACTTTGACAAGAAGAGGGAGCACATATATTAGGAAGTGAGTGGAAGGGCTGAGGTGGCAGAAGATCAGGCAACGGCAGAGCAGGGAGGGGGTCTGAGCCCAAGCAGCTGGGGCCCCTGCAGTACAGGGACCAGTGCTGTGACTAAGACACACACACACGCACACACACATCAGTGCTCTGGGATCACTGAGGAGGAGCTGACCATTCTCTGCCTAGGAAGGTCAGAGGAAAGATCTTGAAGGATGGGTCTTGAAGGATGAGTAGGCGTTCTCTAGCAGAAGGTAAGAGAGCACAGGGGATAGCATGGACGCAGGCCTGGAGCACAGAGGGCATGTGGGAAGCTAGAGCAGATGAGGTGCAGAGAGGAGGCCCCACGCCCTGGCCGGGGAGCTGCAGGGAGCTCCACCCTCCCTTCCCTGAGGAGGGGCACGGTGTCCAGGATCCTCCCCAGCCCTAGCCTCTGGAGTCTGCCTGCATTTCTCCAAGGTGCGGCTCTTACTGGCAATCCCGCAGACGGCTGCAGCCCAGCCCACTCCATCGTGGATGGCTACTACGAGGACGCAGACAGCAGCTACTCCACAACCAGGATGAATGGGGAGCTGAAGAGCTCCTGTAAGTACCAGGAGGGTGTTCAGAAGGTTCTGTCCTTGAAGAGCAGGCCTTGACCTGACCCTTGGCATATATGTGCTCACCACCTCCTCTGATGTTTACTGAGCACTCACTGAGTGCCAGAAACTGGGCTAAGCACTCTGTATTCAGTGATCCTCGCAGTGGCCCCATGAGGTAGATACTGTTATTTATTATGGCCATTTTACTAATAAGAACACTGAACCTCTGAGAAGTGAAGTTACCGAGAGCACACAGCCAGTGGTAACTCTGTGAAACAGTGACCATGTGGGAGGGTAGCCATTACCATGCTCACTCCTCATGCCCACCCCTTCATGATCTGGGGGCCCCAGAGCAGGGACGCCTGCAGAGGGGTAAGAATGTACCTCCCGGGCGGCGGCACAGTGGCGGGTCCTTTGCCACCGCACCTGCAGACAATGACTCTGACGCAATGAGCAGCTCCTACGAGTCCTATGACGAGGAGGAAGAGGAAGGGAAGGGGCCGCAGCCCACGCACCAGTGGCCCTCGGAGGAGGCCTCCATGCACCTGGTGAGGGACTGCAGGATATGTGCCTTCCTGCTGCGGAAAAAGCGCTTCGGGCAGTGGGCCAAGCAGCTGACCGTCATCAAGGAAGACCAGCTCCTGGTGAGTGGCCGTGGGCGTGTGCCTCTAGGCCTCACATGGACTTGCACGTGTGTGTGTGTGTGTGTGTGTGTGTGTACCTGTGTGCGTGCAGGTGTGTCTGCCTCAGTTCCTCTGGGCTTGCTTCATGCACAGAGGCTCAAAGCCTGGTGCTTCTGAGATCAGGGCTCTCCCAGTCGAACAGAATTTTAAAAATCAAAACAAAACAAAAAAAATCTAGAAGACCCGATATAGACTTTACCAAGTTTTTGTTTTGCCAAGAACGAATTTTTTATCTCTTTTAAACAATGTTTATTGTTCTTCATTATGCAAGTAAATGTGTTTATTTATAAAACCAGAGTAAAACAAAATGAAAAATGATTCTTAAAAACCACCTATAATCCCATTGACCCAGAGCTAACCACTGTTAAGGTTTAATATACATATTTCCACACTCATTTCCATGTACCTGTCTTTGCTAAAACTGAACCCACGTAGCACTTGTTATTACATAACTTGCTTTCTCCCTTTTTTTAAAATTCACCATCTCTCATCGCTATCATTTCATAAAAGAAAATGTACCTTTAATTACAAAGTAGGAAGGTGGACATAATTTCAGAAAAAAAAATAGCTCTTTACCGGGTCGGCCCCGTGGCTTAGCGGTTAAGTGCGCGCACTCTGCTGCTAGCAGCCCGGGTTCGGATCCCAGGTGCGCACCGACACACTGCTTCTCCGGCCATGCTGAGGCCACGTCCCACTACAGCAACTAGAAGGATGTGCAGCTATGACATACAACTATCTACTGGGGCTTTGGGGGGAAAAATAAATAAATAAAATTATTAAAAAAATAAAAAATAGCTCTTTACCCAAAAATCTGCTGACCTGCCTTGCCCAACATATATCCAGTTGAAACATGGCCCTTTCTTACCCTGGGTCAGTGAAAAGCTCATCCCAGGCCAGAACAAGTCCAAGGTTAGGACTGACTTCTTTCCACTCCTTATGCTTTCTACTTTTTCCTTGACTTACTGCACTGGTCAGGACCTCCAGCACAATGTAAAGTCCAGATCTTGAAGGAAAGTTTTAGTAATTCACCATCAAGGCTGATGTTTGCTGTGGGTTGTTTGTAGATGCCCTTTATTATCACATTAAGGAAGTTCTCCTCTATTCCTGGTTTGCTAAGAGTTTATGTTACAAATGGGTGCAGAGTTTTACCGAATACTTTTTCTACTTCTATTGAGATATGCGGTTTTTCTCCTTTTTTCTGTTAATGTTATGAATTATATGGCTGGTTTTTCAATGCTAACCTGCTCTTACATTCCTAGAATAAACCCTACTTGATCTTAATGCAGTATGCTTTTTATATGTGTCTGGATTCTATTTGCTAATATTTTGTTTAGGGCTTTTGCAACTATGTTATGAGAGAAATTAGCCTATAATTTTCCTTTTTTGTAATGCCATTGTCAGATTTTGGTATCAAGGTAATGCTGGCTTCATGATAAGAATTGAGAAGTGAGAATCATTATTGATAAACTTTGGACTTCCCAAGCCCACCCTCCATCTCAGCTAGAATTCGCTCTCCCACATTCCTGCCATGTCGCCCTTTAGTAGCAGAGAGCTGGCTTCCTCCCAAGCCAGTCTGTTTCTTCTCTGCTTCTTTAGACTAGAATGGTCTTCCTGGTATTGTGCTAAAATCTGCCTCTTCCTAAATAGGTAGTTGTGCCCCCAGGGGCCCATCGGTAGCCCTTAAGATCTGAAGATTGTCCAAAGACGCCCATCTCCCAGGATTCTCTTCTCTGGGGTGAATAGCTAAAGCCTCTGTCTTCCTGCCGTGCCCACGGATGGGCTGGGTAGGGGAGATCTCTGTGGGGTAGGCGGAGCTCCCCCGAGCCTTTGCCTGAGGGTATCTCCTCCCCCACCCTCCACTCCAGGAAGACCTGACCCCTTCTCTCCCTGTTCAGTGTTACAAAAGCTCCAAGGACCGGCAGCCACATGTGAGGCTGGCGCTGGATGTCTGCGGCGTCATCTACGTGCCCAAGGACAGCCGGCACAAGAGGCACGAGCTGCGCTTCTCGCAGGGGGCCACTGAGGTCTTGGTGCTGGCACTGCAGAGCCGGGAGCAGGCCGAGGAGTGGCTGAAGGTACAGGGGGCCTGAGCCTTCCTCCCACCCGCCCTCTCTCCCTTCCTTCCTCTCCTCCCCAGGCCCAGCCCTCAGTGGGGTGGGCTCTTTCCCTGGAACAACAGGCCTCGCTCAGGGAGAGGGGGTCATTGCCCTATGCATGGCTAGGGCTTATGTGTGGAAATAGGCCTTGGACGTTTCCAGGAGACAGACCTCAGGCTGGAAGCCTTTGTTCCTCTTAAGTATTTTATTTTCCTTTCTAACATCCCCACTGTGGGCTTGTCCAGCCTGCACTTGTCCATCTCCTGGAATGGAGAGGTTAACATCTACAAAGGAAGCTGATTTTATCATTAGATAAGCTAATCTTTTTTTTTCTTTTAAAAAAGGAAAAATTCTTCTTTATCTTAGGCGAAATGCGCATCCTTGTAACGTCCACCTATGATCCAGCTTCTGCGTCTTGCAGCTGCACAGAACAATGAGAGTGATTGTGTACTGAGCACTCACTTCGTGCCATGCATTGTGCTAAGAGCTATACAAACATGACCTCATTTACTTTTGGCAGTGGGACTATTATTGTTCCCATTTTACAGATGAGGAAACTGAGGCACAGAGAACTTATGTGACTTGCCAAAGGTCACACAACCAAGTGGTTGAGGCTAGGGTTAGAAGCCAACAAGGAAACCTACTCCAAAGGCCATAGGCAAGGTGGCATTGTGATGACGAGGGAGGAGTTTGGTGACACACAGACTTGAGTTCAATCCCAGGCCTAAGTGCCACTTACTGGCAGTGTGATCTTCTGCAAATGACTTTGCCTCTCTGTGCCTCGGTTGCCTCCTCTATACAATGGTTCTCGTAAGGATTCTAGAGAGCAGTTGTCACAGTGCCTGCCAGGCAGTCAGTGCTCAGTAACGATCAGGGATTACTGTGTGATGATGGTGAAGCCCTGCCCCCAGTCCCTTACAGCAGGCCCTTGGCCCTGCACCCTGCCTCCATTTCACTCTGACACCTTTCTCTCTCTCCTCTGATCTTCCTGCTGGAACAAAGAAACCAAACCCCTCCCTCCCTCCCCATCCTCCCTTCCTTCCTGTGATAACCAGCTCTCCCACTGGAATGTTTTGTGTTTCTCATTATTGCCTTTGTCTCAGGAGGGGAAGGAAGGGAGAGAACCTGCCTGCTGGGGGAGCCTCTGCCCTCAAGGGGCCGGTGGGTCAGAAGGTGCCCTTGACCCGGAGTTAGGAGGCCTGCCTTGACACCCCGATCCTGGGAGGCCATTAGCCCAGAGGTTAAGGGGAGGCAACCGTGGCTTCGCCTCTCGGAGCCCCCTCATCCTAATCTGTAACTTGGTAATCACAGCGGTCCCTGCCCCACAAGGCTGCTGTGGGGATGCAATGGGATAATCTGCATAAAGCCACAGATCGGTGAGCAACAAGTGGTGGCCGTTGTTATTTCGTGATCTGGATGCTTATGCTGTGTGGGCTTGGGTGAATGCCTTGGAGTCTCAGTTTCCTCATCTTTGAAATGGAGGGGATAGCCCTGGCTCTCCAACATAGTCACAGAAGCAAGTCCTCGTTCACCTGGGCCTTTACACCCGTGATCTCACTGGTCCTCAGACAATCCAGGGAGGTTATAACCCATGTTACAGACAGGGAAACCAAGGCCCAGAGCAGGGAAGTGGCTTTCCGAAGGCCACATGACTACTTAGCAATGGAGCCAGGGCTAGAAGCCAAGCCTCTTGTTTCCTGGCCCTGTATCTTTTCAATTCAAGGGACAGACACAAGAGAAAGCCTGTTCAAACCCTGACGTGGCCCACACGTGTGGCAGGAGGCCACGTCAACCCATCTCTTCTGCCCAGTGATCCCAAGCCCTCTGCTCGATGGCCCTGACCGCACAGACCCCATTCTTCCTTTTGCCTCCACAGTGTCCCTGCCCACTGGGACAGCTGTTTGTCCTCTCCACAGGTCATCCGAGAGGTGAGCAAGCCCATCGGGGGAACCGAGGGGGCAGACGTGCCCAGATCCCCAGTCCTCCCGTGCAAGCTGGACCTAGACAAGGTACATCTGTCTCCACAAGGTTTCCTCTGGGCCAGGCAGCATGGGCTCTGCCCAGGAGGACTCGCAGGCTGGTGGTGAAGCCAGGCACCAGCGGTGGCGTCATACACCTGAGATTGCCCAACACAGAGCTGGCGCAATAGTAGGTGTTCAATGTCTGCTGACTTAATGAATGCATGAATGAATGAATGCCCATGTCCAGGGTACAATACAAGCCAGAGGAGGGAGTGACTAACCCTGCCAGGACAGGAGGAGGTCACATTTGAACAGAAAAGTCAGTTGGAATTTGTCACTCAGGGGAGTGTGCCACACTGGGACCAGTGGAGCCATCGTTTAGTAGTTGGTCAGGCCATCAGCAAACACGTGCGAGTGCCTGTGCTTGGCCGGGTGCTGCGGGGGATAGAGGGACTCAGCCCCAAACCCTAAGGGGAGGCTTAAGACCCACACACGTGGATCTTGCATGATCTAATAAAGGCTGGCATTTACAGAATATGACTGTGTGGCCAGCATTGTTCTATATGCTTTACATTTATTACTTAAGTTAATTTCCACAACTGTTCTTTGACAAATTACATTTTCCAGATAAGGAGCTGAGGCACAGAGAGGTTTACCCAAAGTCACATAGTTAATAAGAAACAGAGCTGGGATTTACACCCAGGCAGCCTGGCGCTTGATGACTCTGCCACCCCACCTCTCAAGGAGGACATCCTGAGCTCCATCGATGGGTTGTTAGGAGCATGTGCCGTGCACCAAGCGCTGTGCTCGGCACTGGGGTGCAACTCTAACAGAAACAGACCTGCCCCCTGCCCTCCCAGCGGGGAGTCGGAGTCAACGTGAATCAAATCATCACACAGATTTAGAATTGCCAAGCTGTGTAAGTGCTGGGAGGGAAAAGTACCAGGTACCCTGGGAGCGTATGCCTGGGGGCCTGCTCTTGTCTCAGGGTCAGGGAGTACATTTCAGATGAGGGTGAAACACTAGCGAGGAAAGGGAGGGGACAGGCATTCCAAGCAGGGGGCGCAGGCCCTAGAGCAGAAGGAAGCATGGAATGGAAAGAGGCCAGTGTGGCTGGGCTTGGAGAGAAGGGGGAGCATGTCAGCCCTATTAGAGTGGTCCTGGAAAGCTGTGTGAGGGCCACGGGAGCTCAGGCTAGCCAGAGAGGTGGGGGGGATCAGGGAAGATGGCACCTATGTTGAGCCTTAAAGAATGGGCAAGATTTCACTGGGGCAGAGGTGGGCCAAGGGACAGGAGCTGCAAGGGAAGGGAGCAGCAGAAGCACAGGTGTGGGGTCAGCAGACAGTCACTAGGAGAGGAGACATGGGGGGCTCTCGTGCCCAGGAGGATGCTGGAGGAGAAGCCCAACCCTGTCCTCACTCACTCAGCCTTTGCTATTGGGCCTGAAGGAAAGCAGCATTGGAGAATGAGTGTGTGTGTGAGAGAAAGAGTGTGAATGTGAGTGTGAGTATGTGTGTGTGTACACGCCTGCAGGTGCGTGCCGTTGTGCAGTTGGAAGGGGCTGTAGAGAAATAAGAGGCAAGCTCTTAGACGTGAGCTTTCCTGTGGTTGAGTGTAGAGGGGGAGGGTAGCTAAAATGTTTAGGGTGGCATTTTTGGAGGGGAGTGGGAGTGGGGATGTGGTATTGGTGGGTCTGTCTCTCCATGGAATCATGTGACTGAAGTGCCATCATCAAGTCAATTCCAAAGTGCTCACAGTGTTTCTTTGTATTTGCTTTCTATCTCGATGAAAAACTTACCCGTTGCAGAACAAATAGAACCATAAGTTGTGTTTCACAGTTTACAGGGGTGATTCTTTATACTTTTGACAGTTCTATCCCATGTCTGACAGTTGCCAGTTTCCCAGCCTTTGGAAATTGAGGGGAGCACCCAGCCTCTCCTGTCCTCCCTGCCCCCCACTACTATGCTTATAGCAAAGCATCTCTGAGCCTGGCCTGGGGGGTCCCCGGCAGGAAAGGTTTAAGGGCCTCAGAGCTCTGTAATTCCACCTTTTTAAGTGGGTGAGTGTCATTTTAATCCTTTCTTGAGTCTGGCTGGCACACTTTAGCTTCTTAAAGTGAGATGGCAGCACACCACACAGGTATTAGAAATGATAGTCTGTGGGCCTCGCAATTTCACTTGGGCTCTGTGGGGCCTCACAGCAGTCCACCGAAAAGAGTGTAATTCAGGTGAGAAAACTGAGCCTTGGGGAGATGAAAGGATTTTCCCACATTCCCACAGCTAATAGGTGGTACTAGAGACATAATTTCTTCCAAGGTCCATCTGACTACTCCGTGCCACCTCCCATAGTAGTAGGTACTTAATTGACCTTGTATGAATGAATGAATGGATGGATGAATGAATGATTGCTCCAGAGTTGGCACGATGAGTAAAAATAATTTTGGCTGGCAGTGAAGTTGTTACCATGGTATGTGTGTGTGTCTTTACCATCTTCTCATCCAAATAGGACTGTAGTGGACTCCTGTCTTCTCACCACTCACATTTATTGGTCACCAAGTCCTTTCATGACTATTTTGAAAATACCAACTCCTCTCTCTTTCTCCATCCTCACTGTCACCTTGGCTCACCCGCTTACTGAGTCTCCTCTGGCTCACATGACACTCTCAAGTGGCTCTTTTGCTTCCAGTCTTGCTCCCTCTTGTCTGGCCAGGTCACTGGTGGACCACTGGACGCCAGTGGAGGCATCCTAAATGGGTTACATTACATTAGTATCCCACTTAAATACCTTCCCCGTGCCCTATCACCTGCCAAATGTGGTCCAGCTCCTAGGACGTTTATCTCAATGTGTTGTAATTAATTGCCTCGCTCTCCAAGTAGACTGTCACTCGAAGACACAACCATCCTAAGTCATCGCTGTCCTCCCCATACCTGGTGTAGTATCAGGCACATGATAGTTACTGACAAATATTTATTAGCTAATCCTCATGTGCAGGGGTCAGGGGGAGATGGAACCAACAAAGGAAGGCTTCTGAGTGTGCTCTCTGATGCGGGGCCATCTGTGTCCCTCCCCAGAGGCTGTCCCAAGAGAAGCAGACCTCAGACTCCGACAGCCTGGGCATGGGTGACAACTGTTCCACCCTCGGCCACCGGGAGGCCTGTGAACATGGTAGGAACCTCTGGGGGCTTAGGCCTGAGGGTGCTAGAGCTGGGAGGAGCCTTGCCACAGGCACACAGTGCAGAGCAGGTCCTGACCACACTGGAGACCTGGGTAGGGTGACCTGGTCAGTCCACACCTGGAGCCGTGTGGGCCAGGCCCTGTGTGCAGGCTGAAAGGGCCACTGGGAAGGCTTGGGGTGGGTGGATCTGGGCTTGGGTCTCCCTCCCCTCCCCTGACCCCTCTCCCCAGCAACAGGCAAAGGGAAGAAGAGCAGCCTGGCAGAGCTGAAGGGCTCAATGAGCAGGGCTGCAGGCCGCAAGATCACCCGCATCATCGGCTTCTCCAAGAAGAAGGTGCTGGCTGATGACGTGCAGATGCCCTCCACCGAGGAGGTTCCATGCTGTGGTGAGTACCAGGCATGAGGAGAAGGAGAATTCAGACCCTATTGACGGGGAGCCCTGGGGCTAAGCCAGGAGACCCTCCCAGGCCTCACCCACCTCAACCCCAAGGCAGAGGAAAGAATCCTCCGACCAGATGGTTAATCCTATCCCATCAACAACCCATGCCCTTCCATCACTTCTCTCCCGTGAGGCCCTGACGCTCAGCAGAAGGAAAAGCCAACTGACTCTCATGTTTCTGTGCTCCCTGTGATCTTAGCACAGTCACTGCCCTTCTCTGGGCCTCAGTTTCCTCCACCATAATAAGAGGAGAGTATCTTATTTCCCAGCATATAACATGCCGGGTGTGTAAGTTACAACCCAGTCTTATAAAGAAATTTCTTAGATAAAAATATTTAAGTATGTTTCATTATAAATGCATTCAAAGTGAGTTAAAAGTGGTTTGGAAGGGAAACCATATTATTCTGTTCATCCAAATGCAGTGTTCCATGTACTGGAACCCAATAGGAAATCATATATTTTAGATATTTTAGATTTGGAGCCTGTACCTTGCTCGTTTTATAATTCTTTCTTGGCTAGATGTTTTTGTTCCTACATGCTGCCACCAGGTGTCAGCATCATCCATTATTTTCTGTCTTTCAGTAAGGACGAGTTTTGATATTTTAGGGAGAGGCAAGGCAAGAGGGAGGGTTGTCTTTTATTCATTCTCTGTAGTAGTGCCTGCCCTTTTCGTCAAGCTTGGTATGGTCCAAAGGCTGTGCAGTGATATACAAATGTGATTAGCAGTCCCTGTATCTCAGATAGGAAACTGAAACAGAGAGACAGGTGGATGTCTGAGGTCACAGACTGGGAGAGAGTGAGCTGATCCGGGACCCAGAACGCCTTCTTTCCAGCTAGAGTACAAGGGTTGTCCAGGTGCTCTGTGCCCGGAGTGTAGACCCATGCACCTCGACTTGCATCCCCCACCGTGGGGTGCCCCAGGGCTGGGCTGTCGGAGGTCACGCTGCTGGTCTCCGTCTCCCAGGCTATCTGAACGTGCTGGTGAACCAGGGCTGGAAGGAACGCTGGTGCCGCCTGAATGGCAACACTCTGTATTTCCACAAGGACCGCACAGACCTGCGGACCCACGTGAACGCCATCGCCCTCCGTGGCTGTGAGGTGGCCCCGGGCTTTGGGCCCAGACACCCATTTGCCTTCAGGATTCTGCGCAACCGGCAAGAGGTCACCATCTTGGAGGTGAGAGGAGAGAGTCCAGGTGGTGCTTGGTGGTGGGAACTGAGAGGAGCTCTGGTGTGGGCGTTAGCTTTTGTCTTGGGACCTTGCTACTGACATTACGGGGACTGAGGACGAAGGCAAAGGAAGCCAGCTGCTGCCAGAGGTCAAGTAGGGTTGCCAGATAAAATATAGGACACCCACTTAAATTTGGATTTCAGATAAATAACAAATAATGTTTTTAATATAAATATATCCTGTGCAATATTTGGGACATACCTATACTAAAAAATTATTTGTAGTTTATCTAAAATTCGAATTAAACAGAGCATTCTACCATTTTTATTTGCTAAATCTGGCAACCCTATACCCAAGGTTGGTTTATTCTCTCATATCTTTAACTCCCAAGCCTGAAAGGCATCTAGTCTGATCTAACCTGGATCTGACTCTGGAACCCCCTCTAAAACCTTCCCAGCAGTGGCCGTCCACCTCAGATAAACAAACTACTGCCCTTCAGGGTAGCCTGCCCCTCCCACTGAACCTAAATTTTTAGAAAGATTTTCTCCATACTGAGTTGAAATCTTTAAGCTCCATGAAGGCAGTAACCATGCCTGTTCTGCATACTTTTGTTTTTCCAGAACCCAGTCTGATGTCAGGCACAATGAATGGCTCAGTTAATATTTGTTGAACAAATGGCTGAATGAAAACATGATTTTATTTCATCCATTCATTGTGGTCCTTACCCAGTGGCCCTAGCCCTCCTCTCTGAGGTTATGCAGAATACGTTTAATCTCTCTTCTACATGTCAATCCTTCAGCTGCTTAGAATTTAAAATATTAGCGCTGGAGGAAAACTTAAATAACTACCCCCTCACATTACAGATAAGGAAACTGAGGCCCAGGCAGCCAAGTGCTTTGTCCAAGGCTCCACAGAGGGTCAGTGGGCTCCCGGTCTTATCCTAGAACTAAAACTCAGCCTCTTGGTCTTGTTTTCTTTGCCCAGTACCCACTGCCTCTCTCAGTTCTTAAATTTCAAGAAAGATTGCCCCTGTAACTCACTTTTATTTTTGATAGTTTGAGATGGATCTATTTCTCTTAAATTATTCACAGAGCTTTCTGGTAAAAAGTGTGCTTCCTTTATTCAAGTTTAGCATTTTTGTGCTAAGTTGATTTTATAATAATGCTCTTTAAATGAGAACTAACCATAAGTATGTGTTTAGTTGACCAGCAACTTCTTGGAGATTTTCCTGTATATAATACTACAAGTAATTGGCAATTATAACACAAGAAAAAAATTGCTTGGGTTATGTGAGAAATAGCCTCCTCTAATAAAAAGTAAAATATTTTTTTAAAAATTCAGGGAACATCTAAATGTTGTTTTCACATCTGAATGGTGGGAAAGACTCTGAGGATAATGAGGGAGGGTGTATGTCTTAGAGAGGTAGTCAGAGAGGGCTTCTCTAAGGAGGTGGCATTAGAGCAGAAACCTGAATAGAGGGAAGGCAAAAGCCACTTGGATTTTGATACGTGTTCTTCTTGAATCCCTCAGTATTGGGTGCATAACAGGTACTATACGTATATGGGTTTGGCTGAAGGGAGCGGGTAGCCAGAGACCCTGACAGTCTTGTGCCTATGAACATGGCTGGTGCCTCCTCTCCCTTAGGCAAGCTGCTCAGAGGACATGGGCCGCTGGCTGGGGCTGCTGCTGGTGGAGATGGGCTCCAAAGTGACTCCCGAGGCGCTGCACTATGACTACGTGGACGTGGAGACCTTGACCAGCATCGTCAGCGCGGGGCGCAACTCCTTCCTGTAAGGGTCAGCACCCCACAGCCCACAGCTGCCCACAGCCTTTCCTGTCTCTGCTCCGTCTCAGAGGCTCCCGGTCCAGCCCTGGACACTGGGAGGGAGGGAGGTAGGGCTGAGGAAGACTGCTTCCTTGGAAAGTCAGAGTGGGTGCCTTCCTCTTCCAGCAGGCGGGAGTGGGCTGACTAAAGGAGGTAGCCCACGGTCGAGGGAAGCTGTGGATGGAATGAGCAAAAGTGGAGAAACCCTTTTGCCTAGTGGCCTGGGCTCTGCTCTCTTGCCACAGAATCTTAGGTTCTCACATCTTTGAGCATCCAGGTGAGCATGGGGCTGGTACATGGAATTCAGCATTGAGAGAGCCAGGTCAAGTCACAGCTCTGTCATGACCAACAGCTTGGGCTGGTGCTTGCCAGCTTGGATCTTCTGTTTTCTTACTTAGAGGACGAGTGATGGATTCCCCACTTCCCGAGCTGTTGTGAGAATCACCGGGGCCCCTGCCTGTGAAGTCCTTAGCACGGCAATGGCCCAGTGCTGCCTGGCATGGCTGCTATTACCAACCTTCTGACCACTGCCAGAATCAAATGAGAGAGTGGACAGGACAGCACTGTAAGCTGCCGAGTGTCATCATCATTGTCATCGTCATTGTGCCTTGTATTTTCTAGATATGCAAGATCCTGCCAGGATCAATGGCCTGAGCCCCGTGTCTATGATGATGTTCCTTATGAAAAGATGCAGGTATGGTCCCTTGGGACTGCCCAGGCATGTGACAAAGGCCACTTCTTAGCTCTCCTTCACTGATCCTTTTTCCTTTGCCTTCGTATAACCAGCAGCTAGAAGCGGGGGGGGGGTGCCCTTCTTATCACAGACCATGGGACAGGACCAGGACTCCCTGGCACAGGAGGCTGGGTGGTGCAGTGGAAAGATCCTCAGATCAGGAAAAAGAAAGGGCTCTGTGAGCTCAAAGCACTACTCCAGTTTGAGCAAGGTACTGGGCTCTCCACCCCTGTTTACTGCTCTGTGAACTGATGCTGCTGATCCACTGGTGTCTGGGGGGGATGCCAAATGGGTTGCCGCCCCCAGAGGCCTTCACCTGATGGCATCCACAGTCTAGGCTTCAGCTCCCAGGACAAAGTCTCCCTGTCTTGCTCACTAAACCAAGGAGATGCCAGCTTGT